TTTTTTTTTTTTTTTTTTTTTTTTTTTTTCTCTCTCTCCATTCTCTGTCTCGCTCCTGCAGGCTAGCGCTGCTTTTTTTCTTTTCCAGTTCTTCATCCTGATTGGCATCGGTCCCTTTTCTCCCGCAACTTCTCTGGCCTTTTCCCACACGTTCTTTTCTTCTCTGTGCCTGCACGTGCCCCTATGTGTCCCTGACTGCATATTGTCCTCCCCCCTTCTCTACCTCTCTCTGTCTTGCTCACTGAAACCCACCCCCCTCATTCTGTATCTCCCTTTCTCCTTCCTCCACCCTCTTCACCTCGCCCTCTCAGACCCTGTGTGCTGCTCCCTGTCTCCACTATTGATTGCTTCATCTCTCTGTCTTGTTCTCTCTTCCTGTCTTTTCTCATGCTCCACCCCTCTATCATTCTCTCTGTTGCTCTTGTTGGTTCCAGGCTAGCATCCTGCTCCCTTCTGCAGTCGTCTCCTGCTGTCTGGCTCCCTGTCCCTCACATCTCTTCTAGATGCCTCTGTCCTGCCTCTTTCTTGATCCCTCTGGCCTGCTCCCCTTTGCTGGCTTGGCACTCTTTCTCCACCTCTCTGTCTCGGTCCTGTCTGTCTCCTCATCTCTTGGTTGCTACTGTTTCTTTCTCCATCAGTGTCTCACTGCCTGTCCCTTTTCTCTTCTCCCTGTCCTCCATTGTCTCCCTAACTTTTTGCCATTGTTTCTTGCTATATCCCCCTGCCCCGGTCAGTGTCCAGTTATTTCTTGTGTTGTGCTCCCTTTTTTCAAATTCTGCAGCCCAGCCATGGTTTTATTCTCTCCCTTTATTTGTCCTGATCTGTGTGTGTTTTTCTTTCACTTCCTCAACCACTCCAGCTTGTTCTGTACTTTTGTATCACTCTCACTCCTCAGTCCATCTCTGTATCGATCCATCTGTTCTGCTCCTCGGTTACCAGTTTCTCTCTCTCTCTTCTGTCCTAGTGCGTGATCGAGTGAGGTTCCATGTCTATCAGGCCTCATCTTGTAAGAGCTGTGAGATGCCTACACATTCTCTTAAGTAGACAACAGCCATGCAACTGGAGCTGCTATAGAAGAGGAAGGGAGAAGACAAAGAGAAGGAAGAGTCTGACCTGTCAAATTCTCCTGGCAGGGCTGAGAGCTGCGGTAAGTCCCGAGTGCTCAGGGCCCTCTCATCCCTCTTGTGTGTCCTGGTCCCTCCCTTTCTCCTAGACTCCTCTCTTTCTTATGCTGCTCAACATTTTTGCTCACCTATATCTTCCGTCTTGCTTGGAGCAGCTCCCTGTTCCCATCTTGTAGGTCCTCCCTCTCTCTGCCCTGTACCCTGCTGCTGTTGTTGCCTTTCTCCATCCATCTCTGTCCAGCTCCCTGTCCCTATTAATTCCTTCCTCATCTTCCTGCACCCACTGCTATTCCTTGTGATCTCCATCTCTCTCTGTTCAGCTCCCTGTCCCCAGTTTTTCATTCCTACCTCTCTCCCTCATAGCCTGTCTGGCCTTTTTCCTCGGTGTCTTTCTCTCTGGCTGACTCCCTTCTGCTATTTTTTATTTCCTCCCTATCCTCCATCTTGTTGCCCATCACTCTTTTGTCTTGTCTCTCCATGTCTCTCTGTCTGTCTTCCAGTCACTGTTCTTTAATTCCTCCCTCTTCCCTGTAGCTTGCTACTATTTTTTTCCCCATTCGCCATCATTCTCTGTCTGGTGCCCTGTCCCTATTTATCAATTAGTCCCTCTCTGCCTTATGGTCTGTTTATTTCCCCATTTAATTTTTGACTCTCTCTGTCTGGCTCCTTGTCCCTGGTTTGTTAATTCCTTCCTCTGTGCCCCATACCCCATGTGATCTTTTCTTTTTTGTGGTCTGTTTCTGGCTGGCGCTCTGTTACTATTCAGTAATTCCTTTCTTGACATCCCATAGTCTGTTGTTATTGTCTTTTCTCCATCTCACTGTCTCTGTTTCCCCTGTTTTAGAATTCCCCCCTTCTTTCTGTATGCATCAGTTTTAGTTTTTGGCTCCAGGTCTCTTCCTTTCTGGGTCGCTGTCCCTGTTTCCTAATTCTTCCTTCTGTGCCCTGTAATACATAGTGAGACAGGGAGTCTAAACAATCTTAGATTGATGGTGCAAGGCCTGCGCAAAAACAAGGGGAGGCGTATGGGACTGTTCGAAAAAGACATACCAAGTACTGATAATGTTGCTAGGCGATTAACTCCTAGCCCAAAGAGAAGTCCCTCCTAGTCTTTGAAAAACAGACAACCCCAAAACATTGGCCTGGAAGAAAGCCAGAGAACAACTGAGGCTGCGCAGAGCAACAGGGAGAAAAGTTCATCAGCGAAGAAGAGGAGGAAACCTGATTACCATGAGAAGCGAGGGGAGGCAGGGGTAGACTATGTATATGTATAAGCATTTTATGAATATGCACTGTTTTGTAACATATAAGCCGGACGAGAGCTGCAAATGATGCGCATGCTTGTGGTGGAGCGATCCCCCATGTGCCCAGCGCTGAATAAACATACCCACTTTATAACCCCAAACGTTATAGAGTGATTTCTCCGCAGAACACATAGCTACGTGGTTTGTTTTGTGTTCCTCCCCTGCCCTTTCCCTCCATTGTTTGCTGTCCTGACTCCCCATCACTGTTGCTTTTTCCTGTTCTTTGTAGGTTTCTTGTCTTTCGCCATCTTTCTTGGTCTAGGTCCCTGCTGCTTTTGTTATTCCTCTATGTCTGTTGTGCTGCCTATACCAGGTTTTTTTTCCTGCATGTCTGTCCTGCTCCTCATCCTTCTTTGTTGGTCTCTGTTCTGCGCCGCCTTCCTCTTTCTGCTGCCTTTTTTATTCTTTCCCTGCTGCTTTTTTCTCCATATCTGTGTCGGGCTCCCTGTCCCCATCCTCTCACCACCCTATGCCTTGCCTTCTTGTTTTCTCACTACCCCCATACTGGCCAGCCAGTTGCTCCTTTTCTCATCTTGTGTCCTGCATCCTGCTTCTCATTTTTGGCAGTCTCCAGCTCTGCCCAGCAGCCTGTTGCTCCAGGTGCTGACTGACTGTTCCCAGCTGGACTGAGGAGCATGGCTCTGGGAACAAGTGCCAAGATGTGCCAGGGGTAGGGGCAGCATTAGGGGCCCTGAGCCCCACAGCAGACTCACTCTCTTCTGGGACTTATTCTGTGTGTGTCTGAATAAACAGTTGCTGGCTGCCTTTTGTGCTTCCTTTGCTCCAGGTGAGGGGCTGGGAGGGAGCCCAGGGCAGGGGTGATGATGCTCTGTGGGGGTGGGTGATAGCCTCCAGCTGTGGGCTGGAGCTGGAGGGGCCCAGGTGTGGGCAGTGAGGCTGATGGCAGTGGCCCCACCCTATAAAGGGGTTACTCCAGGTGGAGGGGTGGGTGCTTCTGTTGAAAACGGGGAAGCCTTCAGAGAGATAGGTGTGAACCAAGGGAGGAGCAGCAGCGCAGTTGCTGGGCGTTGCCTGCACCGAGGGAGAAGGTGAGTGGAGCTGTGTAATCAACTGGCAACTCCTGGGGAAGGAGGTCATGGAGAGGATGGTGGTGCCTTCAGGGTGGCACTGCTCAGTGTTGGACCTGGTGGCAGGGGCTGCCCAGAGCCGGTGCTGGGGCTTCTATTCACTCTCAGATAACCTTTCCTGATGCCAAGTTTAATCTCCAGAACACTCATGTTGTTCTCTATGCTAGCTAGGATCCCTCTGTTTAGTTCCTGGTCCCCTGAGGACATCTGTAACTTGTTTAGATCCCTTCTAGATGACTGGATCACGTCCTTGAGAATTATTTGGGCCGTGCTGCTTGTCAGAACCCCTCTGATAATGTCACAACGCCTCCCGAGGTCTCGGGTATTCACTGCAGTATGCTTTTAGCACCCTAACCCCCCTTTGAACTTTTTTTGTCACAGTTGCACTGCTCCTAATATCTCCATTTCCAAAGAGGAGCATTGTTTTGTTGTCTATGTCATCTAGAATGCCTGTCAAGACATTCCTTGTGCTCCATGGAATTTTGGTAGCGTTTTGCCTCTCTTCTGATGTCTCTTATTCGTCGTGTAGTTTGTGTTTTCTGTGTCCTAGAGCTTCCTTAGGTCACAACATTCTCATCACTCTTTGCGCTGAAGTAGCACAGCGTGCGCTTCGGGAACCATTGCTAGGGTGTTGAACGTCTCTAGTCATCAGCACAGTGCTGGTCAGGTGCTTCTTTTATCGCATTATGAAGACGAAGGCATGGATAGGTCTCGGAAGTTTCAGGTAGGTCTGCTTTAGCAGCACCTCTCCAGGCTGTGTTAACATCTCCGATCTTGAGCGGTCCATCTTTGCCAAGACCTTTTATGGGAGCTTTTCCCTGCATCCTTACATGCTTTGATCTTCAAGTAGGGCGTCTCGTGCATGACTCATCTCTGTTTTTGTCTCAGGCCGCAGCATTCGGCTCTTCTCTGCCTGCCACGGATTCCTCCTCCCAGTCTTCTCATCCGGTAGCATCTCCGGTCAAGGAGTCATTCTTAGAGAGCTTGTTTTAATGTTTTGGTTTCAGCGTTTGTCTTTGTGTGCAGTGTTGGTCTGTGCCCGTTTGTGTCTGGGTTGGAGCTGCTCTGCCTGGAGACACAGAGCAATAGTCCACAAAAGAATAGCAATAAGAATCTAAGGCTAATGGGGTGATAAGTATAGACTTTGTAGGGAGAGGACATACAGCCCATTTCAGGGCAAGCAGCCATATACGCAGGAGGCGTGTGAGTTTTCTCCGTAGCGTTTTGCAGAGACGCCAGAGATGACTGGGCTGTGTTTAACGGCAGGTCACAGTGAGAATCTAGATGGTATACTTAAAGGAGGTTGTTGGAGAATGGCTTGCAGAACAAGGCCATGGTTCTGTGCAGGAGCTGATTACAGCCATCTGAAGTAAACAAAGGAAAAAACCCAGGGTACAGTTATGCTAACAAGGAAGGAGATTCAAGGACTGTTATGTTAACAAGAGAAACTGAGGTACACAACAGCCTTGAGTATGATGGTAAACAACCTTGAGAAAGAAAGCAAGCCAGAAGAAGGAGGATGTTGTGACATGCCTGAAGTGCCATGGGGGGCTGGGATATTATAATGTAGCCTTTTGGATATATCCAATAGATTTATGATTAGTGTGCATAATTATAGTTAGTACTTATATAAGGTGTGATTTCTTTCAATAAAGTTGAAGCTTGCTCTATCATTCATATTGAATTGACTGCTTGCTTCCTCCGTCCACTGCAGGAGGCCTCTAGAATTGTTTAACCATCACTCGGCATCCAGGTGACTCGTTTGATACCGGTTTTGCAGGTGCAGAGGGGGGAACCGCACCCCAAAGGAGGACGGAGGAGACGAGCGGAACGCCGTAAGAAGGTATGTTGACATGCGGTGTTGGAGGGAAGACACAACAGACAGTTACACAAGTAGCCTACAAGCGTGTTTTATTACAAAGGTGTGAAGCTAGATAGCGGCACCGGCAGCGAGGCAAGTGAGGCGAGATACGAGCAGCGCATTCAAGCAGCAGTTATTTTTCAGGAGTCGTATTGTTGGTGAAGTTAGAAGTATCCCTTGTTATTTGTGTGTTTCAGGCAGTACACGAGCCTCTACAGGGGAAACTGTGAACAGCAGAGGCAATGTGGGTGAGCGCACCAGGTAAAGGAGTGGGAGAGGGTTATCGCTGCAGTCCGGCTGTAGTTTTGGGTAGTATCCCCCCAAGCGTTACTTTGGTTTTTGCAGGTGACGGATGTAGCTTTGTAAGGGCGAAGCCACACACTGGAGGAGCCGTCTGAGGCGAGGTGACATCTGCCAGGTCCGCATCTGATCATCGAGTATCCCACGGCATCTAAGCAAAGCAGGCAGCCTTTGGAATCAGATGAGCATTTGAGGTGAGGCGGGGCGGTAGCGAGGAGGAGTTAGGGGCGGGTGACTCGTCAGAAGCACAATGGCAATTTTGCTTCCCTCGGTATCTTAGGTACCACAAGTGACGACGGTGGCAGCGTTGACTCCGGAGCGAGTAGGAGAGAGGCGCTTTTGAGGGGGGTGTCGCCGAAGAGGTTGGCATCGGCTGGCGCGACGCCAACGGGTCACACAGTTTGCAGGCGTCTTGCAGAAGACACACAGGAAGCCTGAGACTCGGAAACATCCCAGTCGGCCCATGCGGTTGTTGCGGAAGATGGCTCTGAAAAGCTAAGTTGAGGGTCAAGGGTAGGAAGGGACAGCGTTGGGAGTCACAGGGAGGACTCTTCAAGTTAGTGTTGGGGAGAGGGCCATCCAGGAACAGAGCCCTTTGCGCCCATAAGGGGGTCGAGTTACTTTTGCTGAAAACTGGACTATCATGTGCCGGGCAGGGCAGTTCCAGCCTGTGTCTGTGTCATCGTGTACTTTGTGTCTTCTGTATTCTGTATCTTATAGCACACCGTCCTCAGGTCTTGATGTCTTCATAGGTCTTTGTGATCAGCAGGCATCTTGATAGCCTTCCTGAGAGTCTTGAGCACTTCGCCTCATCAGCATAGCACCCGCGGAGCCCTTCTTGTCTTGCAAATAAAATCTGAGGCGTGGATCCATCCATTGTATATTGTATTGAGGATGTTCTTGAGTAGTCATCTCTTGCAGGATGAGCTAGATGGCATCTGCAGCTGTGCTTTTCAGAGTCGTTTTGGCACGTGATAGTCTTCTGGGGTCTCATCCCCACATCTTAAGTCTTGAAGCCCGGCTTCTCACCCATCCATGGTTCTGGCTTTGACGGTAACTTTGTCTCAGGGGCTGCACCAGTCGCCTCTCATTTCAGGACTGCTCCAACGCATCCGTGACATCGTGTCACCGTAGGGCTTCTCTGCCAGCAGCGTTTTCCCTACGGTCATCATTCTTCTTGCTCGCGGTCTTCTTGCGTCTCATGTCACTTGCAGCGTCTGCCTGTGGTGTCGGTCTGTGTCAGTGTCGAACCTGTCCTGCCTGGACGTGCAGCGATAGGAAAGACTAGGGGAGCATAGCTTTGTAGTTGTGTAGTAATATTTTTGCAATAGTAGTAGTATTTTGCAATGTGTAGTAATAGTTTTGCAATACGCCTGGTGTGTGTTCATGTGTTTCTTAGTTATGTGATGTGTTGTTTGTCTTGGTCTTCACTGACAAGGCCCATCTGGTGTACTTACATCCTACTCCATGTACAGGAGCCATCCATCACATCTTGCAGCCTAGAGTCATCGCAACAGCCCTCATTATGTCTCGCAAAGCAGTGTGACATAGAAGTTCAACCTTACCGATCTGGTTTTATATTGTAGGTGGATTTGATCAGTCTTTTACGTAGCTCGCTCTCAGACAAAGCCAGCAGGTCTAGTCTCTGTGACTGCCTCTTATGAGGTCTTTCAAGGAATTCTTCCCTGTATCACTTTAGTGTTTGGTCTTTCCCAGCATTTTTTCAACTTTGCTCATCGGTGCATTATCCCTCGACTATCATCCAGAGGTCAGGCATTCAGACAAGGCAGGCCCCACCCAGGCATCTGCATCATGTTACCTCAGCAACCTCAAGCATGCCGTCAGGCTGCGTCTTTAGGTCCGGCATTAACTCTACCACGTGCAGTACTCTCGCATCCTTAGGTCCCATTTGTGGCACACGTAGGTGCGCGTGAGGCAGTGTCACGTCATGTGTTCGTAGCCATTGTGGAACGGTTCCAGAAGGGGATGATAATGTGCCATTGAGCGTGGCCCATTTGGCTGGAGGTCGCCTAGGTCGGTTTTGGGGATGGCCAGTTGTTATCATCAGGCAGCCTCTAGAGTTCATTCTTCTGTCTTTTGCAGGTGTCATAGGGCCACCAGGATTCCAGAAGGGAAATCTCTGACTACGTTTGCTGGAGCCTACAAAATGAAGAAGGACCGGGAGTGGTGCCAGAGGGAAACGTAAAACTTTTGCAACTACAAGGACCTCCGGCGTGGGTCAGGGGGAGTGGCGGTGACGCGGTTCCCGGGACTTTTACGGAATCACAGCAGTCTGCCACTCCGGCAGGTCACATAGAGCGAATGTTTAACAAGTGTTAGTTTTGGAAGGTATCCTTGTATGTGAGGATGTTTTTCATTTCGGGGTATATTGAAAGTAGAGGGAGATAATGTGTTTTTTTAATCATAGCAAAGAAACTGTTGAGCAGGGAGATTTCTTTATCTCCCTGATGCTATTTATTGTCACTTAGTCCCGGCCAGTCTGTCATGTGCCGTTCGCAGCCAGCATTTGGGCAGAGGTTAGGTTCAGGCCTTGGCACTGGCAGGCGCGATGACTTTTGAGCTCTTCGGGAAGCACATTTTGAGGAGCGGTCTGGCGACAGGCATAGGAAGAGTTGTGGGGGTCAGCCAGCTGGGCAGATTTGCCGAGAGCAGGGGGCAGTTAGCGGGGTAGTTGAGTGAGCGGTATGTTTAGAATGTGTCTGCCTGTGCATGACTAATGTGCAGGAATTTGTTTATGTTGCAGGTGGATTAGAGGTTTTTTTGAGCAGTTAGGGTGAAAATAAATGTAGAATAAAAAACCCCCAGCCTGGGGACTTTTTTTTTCCGGGCCATGAGGTGATGATCGTCGCCCATATTTGTGCACGGAGCGTTGCAGGGACAGTATTTTCACATTTTGGAGGCCCCAGAAACAGCGTTCCTGGCCTCATGTATGTTATAGTAGTTTCTAAACAGTTATGAATCTGGTTAGTAAAGGCATGATGCTGTGTGATGTGTGAAATGGCCATAAATGTGTTTAGAGCTAATGGTGGGAAGTAAAGCACTCATAAGGGTTTATGAATTCCATCATGTTTCTGTAATGTAGTTTTGTGAAAATGTAATTGCTCTTGGTTCAGGTGTTTAAAATGTATGTAAAAGCTGCTTTGTAATGGGGTTGCTTTGTAATGGGGTTTGAGTGGAGGTTGAGTTGTTGTGCTTGTAATGTTTCTTAAAGGAAAAGTTTGGTGTAATGAAGCTTCCTGGGAAGTCTAAATGATATTGGTTTTAACTTTATTCAAGAAGCAAAAGCTGTTTTGTAATGTAGCTGTAATAAAGGCATATTGTCTGGGGTTGGCTCCCATGTGTTTTTTTGGATTGGCAATAAAGGCATATTGTTTGGGGTTGGCTCCTGTGTGGTTTTAATGTATGTATAAGTTTGTGTCTCTCTGTTACACTTTTGTCTCTATCTCTCTTTGCACGTGTGTGACTTTGTCTAACTTGGCCTTTGTCAGACTCTGATGTTGTGCTTGGCTGTGGACTCTGACTCTGATGTTGTGTTGGACTTTGTCTTTTTGTGGTTTTCTCTTCGTTTCTTTTATAAGTTTTTCTGACTTTGACTTCTTATCTATATGTGTCTCCTATGTCTGTTGGTTAAATGGTAGGTAGCAGGATTAGAACATGGCTGGTGCCTGGGAGTAATAAAATGATAAAAACAGTGTTTAAAAGAAATTACTTGTGTGAAAGAAATACAGTCCCTAAAATCAGTAAAAATATGATTGTTTTGTATGCCAGATGGTTTGAAATGTATGACAAAACTTCATGTAACACATATTCCAATTAATTTAATGGGAAGAGATTTATTACAACAAATGAAGTGCATTGTCACTACTCAGCCTTTTCAGTGGCTCCTGATCAGCAACCTGTACTCAAACTTAAATGGAAAACAGAAAAGCCAGTTTGGGTAGATCAGTGGCCATTAACCACCGAAAAGCTTGCAATCTTACAAAATTTGGTAAATGAACAATTGGACACTGGTCACTTCAGAAAATCAACTTGTTATTGGAATACTCCTGTGTTTGTTATTCCAAAGAAATCAGGAAAATGGCAGTTACTCCATGATTTACAAAAGATCAATGAGGTTATAGGAGACATGGGTGCACTGCAACCAGGTCTACCATCACCTTCAATGATTACAAAAGATTGGGAAATTTTACTAATTGATTTAAAAGATTGCTTTTTTAACCATCCCTATTCACCCTGAAGATTCAGATAAATTTGCTTTTTCTGTACCCTCAGTTAATAAGCAGGAACCTGTGGATACAGGTATCAGTGGATGGTCTTACCTCAAGGAATGAAAAATTCTCTTGACGATTTGCCAGCAGTTTATAAGTGCAGCATTATGACCTTTTAGGAATAAATATCCACAATTTTTAGTGTATCATTATATGGATGATATCTTAATCTCTAGTCAGCACATCAGAGATGAAGTAAAGAATGATCTTTTTCAAACTTTGCAGGATTCTCACTTGCAAGTAGCTCCTGAAAAGATACAGACTTCAGTGCCATGGAAGTATTTGGGATGGAAAATATTAGATCACATAATTGAACCTCAACAAGTTATTATAAACACAGTTGTTAAGACTTTAAATGATTTGCAAAAATTGTTAGGAAACATTAATTGGATTTGAACATTAATTGGTATCGACAATCAGACATTACAACCATTATTTGATTTGGTGCAAGGGGACTCAGATCTCAATAGCCCTCAGCAATTAATGCCACTCGCAACTCAGACCCTTGAAAAAATAAGTCAATAAGCCATCGACAAGCACACAGAATAATAATACATCAATGTCCTTTGCACCTTGTTTTTATCAATGACAGTTATCAGCCTTTAGGGTTGATATCTCAATGGATTGCCTTGGAACCTGAAAATAATTAGCTCAAGATTATAGAGTGGAGTTTTCTATCACATCAACCTTCTAAAACAGTTACCACAAGGCCAGAAATGTTTGCACAGTTAATTATGAAAGGTCGTAATCGCATTACAGAACTGAATGGAATTGAACCAGAAATTATTGTCATACCAATGCAAGAGAACTATTTGCAATGGTCGCTACAGAACAAGCTGCCTTTACAAATTGCTTTATCAGGCTTTA